TTCCTTAACCGTCCTCTTCCGAGCTTCTACCAGTTTACTTGCTGCTTCCTCAATAACATTATTTAGCAATCCCTGTGCATCTTTTTTGTCCTGCATATCTTGATGTCTCAAAACAACCTTCTCTGGACCAGTTGTAGCATCATTGCTGTCAACACAGGCTTCATCTCTTCTTTCAAAGCTTTTCCGGGCAACACCCTTAGCATTGGCTTTCTCCACCAGCACTCTTGTTCTCCGAAATTTAAGCCTCCTTGGACTACTTATCTGAGTTTCATTTTCAACCACTTTTCCCCTTCTGAACTTTAATTTTATCATTTGGTTGTCCTTGCCTTTGGAATATGCAACCCCATCCTTTTTGGGCTTGACTTTCATCTCAGCTTCCAATGTCTCCTCATTTCCCATGCATTCAATTTCATGACTTCCTGAAAAAGAATCATCCTCAAATTCACTAGTTGTATATTCAGACTCCTCTTGATCTCCTTGGGATAAGGATTGAGAAATTGAGGATACTGAAGACTTAGGTGATGACAACTGAGGGAGGTATGACTCATCATCGTAGCTTGCATTTTGATCAGATTGCAAAGTTTTGTTTTCACCTTCCATCTTGATGACATACAGAGTCTTTTCCTCTACCTCATTGTTGTTGTGTTCCTCATGTTCAACCTTTCTAGCAGTTCGCTGATTCTTAAGATGAGGTGCAATTTTCAGGCTCTTATGCTTTCTTGAATTTATACTTGCAACTCTTAGAAGGGAAGGTCTCGGGGACAAAAAAGCATTTGAAGGTGCCATCAGTTTTTTTGAAGCTGCTTTGGAAGAGGCAACCCCCTTTTCCATCTTGATCTTATTAAATCTTTGACCACCGACACCATCTGAGGAATTCATAGAAGACATTTGTTTCCTTCTGACACTGCTTGAATTTAAAGAAGTCACACGTTTTTCAGACAACTTCATTTCTTTACCTTTGAGAGAAGATAATTGTGATGAGGTTTTCACAACATTGGTAGCTGATTTTGACGAAGTTTTGACCTTGGAAGTTGATATTGATGGATTTCCCACCTTATTAGAAGTAGATTTTAATGTCATCATCTTATTGGGAGATGATTTTGATGGAGCTTCCACCTTCCTGGATGTTGATGTAGTTCCCACCTTCTTGGAAGTTAACTTTGATGGGGATCGGACCTCCTTAATTGACAAAATTTCTTGGCTTGATGATGGAGATGTATGAGACTTCAGGAGTGATGGTTTAACCTTGGTCAATGATGATTTGTTCCTGTTAACCATAACTTCATTCCCTATTTCTTTTTGGCTGTCAAATGCTTTTGCTGGAAGTTCCAGCTTATAAGTGCCAGAGGTATCAGAAATCCAGGTCTTGGAATCAACTGATTTCTTGAGTTTGACCGTCGACATCTTTGTTGGCTTGGAATCTACAGATGCACTGAGCCTGGCAACTGACATCATTGTCCCACCAACCCTGCCTTCTGAGCTTTGGTGAAGCTGTTTCCTTGTAGCTCTATTAGGTATAGAGCGTCTTTCCTTCAATTCAAATGCATGTTTCCCACCATATTTACAAATATCATGACAAGAACCAGTGGAAGCTCTGAGATAATTGGGAACACTTTTTTCAACACTAGCTCCAGAACTAGCTTTGCCAGCTGAATGCTTTTTTATTTCAACCCCAGGTGACTTGGTTACTTCTGGGGTCAGCGGTAATTCAACACTTTCATTGGCCATTATATGGTAGATGAGATATGCAGATGAGCAGAACAAGATTCAGGACAACAATCCCTGAAACTTAAAAAAGAAAGCTAATTTAGGATATGGCAGATAAATAGTACAGAAAGTTAAGCACATTCAAATTCAATATTTCAGTAGAACTACATAAAATAGATCAAACCACTAATATCTACAAGTTTATGGTGTAAACGTATGAAAGTGTATCAACTACCACCTATTCATCTACCCTTCAAATCACAATCATTGAAAGCTTCACAGAGATAGAAGCATTTTTAAGACTAGTCTCAACAGCGATGACAAACATGAAAAATTTTCTGATCTAAACAGAAATTTACAAAATCTTTCATTGCACAAAATGCCTATCTTGTTTGACATGTGATTTTTCTCTATTCAATCCAGAACATCACACTTTTTTCTGCCATTATAAAATAAAATACATGAAAATGATCAGTGCAACAGGAACCAGCCATAAAGCCACAAACATAGAAAAGAAAAGAAGTCATCAAACATCCAAAAGAAAAATCATGATACCCCCCAATTGGCAAACCACTGTTTCTCACAAACATGCTTCAATAAACCACATTCTCGTGTCTTGAAAACGTTGGTACTACAAGACTTTATGTGTCATAATTGTGAAATAGTAACCCTATAAAGAGAAGACACCCATCAAGCACATGAACATGCAGCTAATCATCCAAGGAAATCAATGAAGAATAAGAAATGCAACATATTCCAACAGGGAGACGAGAATCATAACCCAATCAAAAACAAGTGCGGCGGAATATTCATCCAAAAGCAAAACATCACCTGAAATTGATTTTTCAGCAAAAATCACAACCCGACATCACAAAACTCATTGAAAAACTTCATGGCTAAGAAATCTGTGTTTCTTGCACCACCACCACAGAAAAACATTTTTAAAGGATATTCCAATCCAGAAAAAACAATAAACAGCGGAGAAAAAAAAATCAAATTTTTAATTAAAAATAATAAAAACGAAGGCACCCCAAATGAAAACCAATCCAATAGAACAGAAAAATGAACCAGGGGAGGTTCAGAAAACGCGCCTCAATCCATAAAAATCAAATTTTTGAACAAACCCATTTGCATTTAGAGAAAAACAAACAGGACCCAGATGATGATGGTTTTGATCAGAAACGAGCAGAAGAAGAAACATACCTTGTTGTTTTCAGAGAAACAAGGGGTGGTTGATAACCAGAAAAGGAAAAAAGAGGAAAAAGGGGAATAATGAGAAAGTGAATGGTGAAGGGTCAAGTAGAAGAAGAAGGAGGAAAAGGAGAAGGGACCACTGCGAAGAGAACGTGCAAGCAAGTGTTTATTTCTCTCGTGCTGTTTCTGGTTATGTGTTGCGTGTCTCCTCACTGCGTTGGTTTGTTACAGAATCCAATGAGAGAGAAAGACAGAGAGAGAGAAGCGTTCAATTTTTTTCATTTTTTTTTTTTTTTTGGGTCTTGGCTTCAAATAAAACAAGAATGAAATTAGGAAAGTGTGATCAGAAATTTTATAATGCACAGTTGCACGCAAAGCTTATTAAGGAACTTGAGAACGGTTGGTTGGTTTGGTTGGAGAAAACGTTAAAATGTTTTACTGAAATGTGGTCTGTAAAATGAAAGAAAAGAAAAGAAATCAATAGTCAAACTAGTTGTGTTTGATTTTTTTATAAAATTTTTATTATAAAAACATTAGCTTATGTTTAGTTTATTTGTTATTTTTAATGATTTATTTGAGAAATAGTGAATAAAAAAATATTTTTTTATTCTTTTTGTTTTTAACATGACACCTCGAGTCAAAGGAAAAATCAACTTAACTAATTATGTGTTAACTAAAGTCAATGTTACTATTAAAACCCTAAAATTGTTAATGTTTAGTTATGCGATGTTTATGTGTATGTTAACTTTTTTTATATTCATCTATGTAAAATTAACCTCTTTTTTGTGATGTGGATATTTATATAAGAAAATTAATCACCTTTTGTCATGTGGATATTTGCATAAGAAAATTAAAACTATACATGCATTTAGTATGTGTTTAGTTTTACTTTAAATTTTTTAATATTATATTGAAATATCAATTAATAAAATTTGAAATTAATTTTCCTATATTTGATTTCATGTCTAAGAATTTGCTTTTAGATCATAATTGATTCTAAATTTATGTAACTTATGCATTGGATTAAAAATTTCATATTGAGTTTACTACTAACTTGTTTTTATAATAAAAACTCTCAATAATAAATAAGATTACTTTAAAATCATTTTTAACCGAAATCAATTTTATCCATGATCATTCAAATAATAAATATTGATTGGTTAAGTTACATGTAAATTCTCCTTATGTGTTGATTGTCTGGTCCATATGCCTTTCTGAATTATGTTTGTTGTTCAAGTTGAGGTCTTGAGTACTCTTTTTTCATGTAGCTTCTATTTTTCTTGTTTTGCATTGCTTTTATGTATTTCTTATTTTTTTTAAAAATAATAATTGATGATGATATACTATAAAATAGGCTAATATTATCATTTATCATTAAAAAAAATTGGGACTCGTATTAGATAACTCAACTTCAAACTCTTAAAAAAAAATCAATGTTAATTTGATATTTTTTTTATCAATAATAGCAACAAGCTAAAATCCTATACATGCTACCTAAATGGACTTTAATGATTCTGATTATTAAGTATACATTTATTAGTAAATTTTATTTTGTCAAAATACTGCTTTGTTGTTTGAAGTGTGTTTTGTACATATATAACGTATTCAAAAATAGCCAATTTAAAGCGTCTTTGAAAATTCATTTTTTTAATGATTTTTACGCGTTTCAAAGTACTAAAATACAAAATAATTTTTCTTATCTTTTCCGTTGAACGTAAGTTTACAAGATTTTAACAATAAACTAAACATAAATAAAAGGTTTGAACAATATATACAACACAAAATCCTGTATTTTAATCACATTATTATCATCATAAAATAAATAAATAAATAAAACTTTTATTTAATGTACTATTACTAATTATCATATTAAAGAGAAAATTTATTATTTATATATCTCAATTTAGTTCATAAAAAATGATAGAGATAACTGAAAAGTTGTTAAAAGAATTTTGTATATCTAAATCTCTAAATTTTAATTTTATATAAGTCGGTTATTATATTATTGTTATATATGGTTACTAATTTTATTAGTTTTTTAAATAGCCAGCAATTAAATGTTAAGTTAACAAATATTATCTCTTTCAGTTGATTGTTTTTTTTTTAATCATCTGATATGAATCATAATACAAGATTTTAATTAAAAATAAAAATAAAAAAATATTATTTTAAACCGATCAATCCTTAATTTTGAGTTTCAATTAAACTTTTGAATGGTGATGCGAAAATCTTTCCAAAAAATAAATGATAGGTGGGATTGTCAACCTATTGGAAATTGCAGAATGAAGGGTTTTGGACATTAACTATGCCACCATTATGAAATTTTCCTTTCAAATTAAAAATCAGTTTCTTAGTAGGTTTCACACGAATAAAGAAGTTCGTTTCGTTTCACAATCGGTGCATTAAAGATAAAAGTTCATCCGTTTCCCAACACATCACGTTTAAAATTCGGGCACTTCGTGTTCTTTATATTTGTTTTTAAGACTTTTAAAAAAAAATTAAAAAAAAAATTTTGAAAGAAAATTATCAAAAAAATTAAGATATTAAAATATTAAAATAGATAATCATACTAAGGGGAGTGTATTAGTTTAAGATTTCATAGGATTTTAAAAGACTTTTTTTGAGTAAAAAAATTTGTTGGTATTCAATCAAGACTTTAGGTCACTTAAAAACAATTCAGTGGTATTCAATCAGGATTTTTAAGATTTTTTAAAGAGTTCATTAAAATCCATTGGTATTCAAAAATATAGGAATTTTAAAGGATTGTTGTATTAGAGGGATTTTGATACTTTTTAGTGGTATATATAAATACCAAATTCATAAAACAATCTCATCCAAACCCATGATTTTGGAGGATTGTTTGAAGTGACTTTTCAAGTGCTTCAAGAATTTCCAAGTGGATTTTTCATCTATATTTTTTTTTCTATGTTCATGTCTTCTCCATTTTTTTTTCTCTTGTTAATAATATTACACTATTACTTATATATAATATTGTATTACTGTTCTCATTCTATTCTCCTATTTGGTGAAATTTCTATACATAAATGATAGTGTCATTAACTTGCTCTATTTTTCTCTCCGTTCTCTTTAATTGACTTGCTCTATTTTGGTCTATTTAATTGAGATTGTTTCTCAGTTATATAACACAGAAAACACTTGAAATTTTAACTTTTAAGTAGTAATTTTTTTTATAACACGCGTCAAGAAAAGGGAAAGGTGAAAGCTAAAATTGATATCATTATCTCTATAATCAACTATAGATCTTCAAGACCTTGTAATCAATTTAGATTTATTAGAACAATATATATATATATATATATATATATATATATATGTGTGTGTGTGTGTGTGTGTGTGTTTGTGTGTGAAAGATGAATTTGAGTTAGGATTTCTGTAAATAGAATGAGATAAGAATGGATCTTAGTTGGGAGAAGAACCCTCTCAACATAAAAACTGTGATCTCTCCCTCTCTTGAATTTGTTATTGTTATCATTCACTCAACAATTATTTTATTTCTTTTTTTTATTATGAATTTTATTTTTTTAAATTTTTATATTACGAAATTAATATTTTTATATTTTAAAAAAGAAAATTAACATAAGACATTGCAGTATCTTAGAATTCAATACTAAAAATATTTCTTCACGAGTGAATAATTGAAAGTAATTAAAAATTAAAAAAAAAATTTGTACCTGTAACATATTTCAGATTTTTTTTTTCTCTCAATTGATGTTTGTAAATATTTACTTTAGTACCGATATAAAATGAAGGGACATATTTAGTTATAAGAGAGTAGGGTAGTTGTCCCACTATTTTTTTTAATCATTTATAAAATTATAAATAAAATATGTTAAACCACAAATTATAAAAAAATTTGAAATGTTGTTTAAAATAATTTTTAGCATGTGTGAACTACATAACTTTCTTCGTAAAAAATGTCATTATGATAAATTTTCAATTGAAGTGATGGACGAACCTTCATCTTCAACATTACTGATTAATAAAAATCATAATTTTAAGTCTATTATTAAAACACAGGAGCAAGAGCGAAAAGATACTAATGTTTGAAGGACTAGTATAGCTATGGATATGTGGGTGAATTCTTTTTAGAACGACATGATATTACAAAAAATTATTATTATTTATCCAGACATTATTGTTTTTTATTATTTTTATATTTGACTCTTTTTAAATTTGAATGTATGAAAAAAATCTTGAATTCTTATCTTATGTCAAAAATTTATGAAATTCTGCAAAGTTCACAAAGTCCCACAGAATCCATTAAAATCTTAACTTAAAAGTCTTGCATAATCCATTAAAATCCTGATTGAAAGTCTTGTGGAATCCTACAAAATCTTAAAAGTCATGAAAATCTTGCAAAGTCTTTTAAAATTCACAGGACTTTTTTCAACTAAAAAAGTCATTTAAAATCCTAATCCAATACACCCCCTAAGTGTTTTTTTTTTAAATTTTGTTGTAAAAATGTCTAATAAAAAATAGAAACTATATAGATGGTTACTAAAAAATAAGATCCAATTACTTCAACCCTATGCTTAACAGAGATAAATTTGAGGGGAGGAGGAGAGAGGAAAGTGGAATAATAAAAAAGATAGTCATGTTTAGTAAAGGAAAAAGGAAGAAATTTAAGTGGAATTTATATGAGATTCATCTAAACAGTAATTACCTTAAAAAAAATGAAAGATTTGAACAGAATTCAGGTCAAAGACATCAATGTCCTCAGTCTCTTTCAACAACACGTCTGTTTTTACTCTTGTGACTTTCATTGGGTACCTTTTATTGTGTATCATATTTGAATATAAAACAAACCATTATGTGCATTTATATTGTATATCGTATTCAAATATGTTGTGTATAGGTACCTATATTTTTGTATGATATTTGAATTTTTTGTGTTGGATATTCGAATATAGTTAGGTATATTGCATAATGTTAAACTATATTTGAATATATTGTGT